TACGAGCGGATATTGTATTCTAAAATTATCGTCACTTTTTTCAGTTACGTATAATAGAGAAGATAGTGAAAAAATGATGAACTTGTTACATCATTATATTTTTAGAGAGAAATGTTTGAGGCGCTAGTAAGTAACATGAATCGAATTTTCAGTTGATTTTATGCAAGCTTAGTTACAAAAAGTTTAATGTTATAAATCTATTCAGACTCCCCTACTGTAAAATTGTGAATTACAAGGCGTGAAAAATAACGTTGAAAAACTAAATTATTCTTGCAACTTATAGCGTCATTTTTCAATTTAGCGCAGCGTTTTCATATTTATGTTTAAAACAATTTAAAATATCATTAAAATATATCAAAGACTTCCATTTTGTTATAATTTAATATGTAATAGCAAATATTTATTTCAATTCGGCAGCTGTCAAATAGCTTGTTTTTGTCCTCGATTTATAGACACAATTCGACATATGTGAGTTATTTATTGATTACCCACACAAAAAAGAAGTTTTCGGTATATTTTATAAGTCTGTTCTATCGATTACAAACGTTATTTTTTATTGAAAAACATTTTTATTTTAATGTCCGTTGCAAGAATTTTCATGATATACTTTCTTGCTTCTTGACGTCAATCAATTCAAGATGGCTGCAGTTAGTAAATTATCTTAAGGTAAAACATTAAGCGACTCGTTAATTAAATTTAGAATTAAATTAATTTATATCTAATAAATTGGGCTAACGTGACAAATCGACGTAAGAATTTTTTTAAAAGGTCTATTATGCTAAGAAATATCTACTTTTTATTACAGTCGACATGTTCGTTCCTCATGTAGATTTGGGACGTCGATTAATATTACCTCGATCCATACGCGCTGCTCCGATATGAATTCGCGAGTAAAGTGCATTATATTATTAACCTATCCTCGAAACCGCAGCTGCGTATCGGCTATCTGTCAATAAATTATTCAACAAACTGAAAGAGTCCGGCTTGATAAATAACAAATTTTATAAGAGTGCTACTTGCAACATCACGTTTTCTTGCGTGTTTGTGAACACTACATATTGAGATAGCGACTTAGCGAAGCTAAACGATGGTACTCAGAAATAGATTATACATGCATATGTGTATGTATATGTATGTATATATTTTGGTTATTTTCCTAATATATAAAAGATGCTGTCATTATATATTTACGTTCATCAGCAGTAATAGCGAAATAACGTCTATCGCATAGCCATTAAATACGTAAATGTGCTGTCATAATGCATATGAAGCTGTTGCCAAGTACTGCTCTAAAATTCCATTTTTACCTCAGTAAATTTGAAAGTTTTGATTGACTATCTTGAAGGTGGTTTATGCGGTAAGTAATAGCTCCGTCTTAACTGATGGGACGAGGATGAATCCTTCATTTCAACTTAAGCTTTAACAACACCATTTTGAAATTCGTATTGTCTTTCTACCCTTTCTACTGAACATATCTCGTATTGCCGCATTTAAGGATGATGAAAATTCTAATTAAAATTGGTATTATGAATTTATTCCATATATAAAGATGTATCTATAAAATTAAGAGAATCAAGATACAACGTTGAAAGCTCCGGCGCTAATGAATTGAGGATGAAGCAACTTTTATGGGCACTCTCCTCTCTCTTTTTCTCTCTTTTTGCTCAACATTACCAAGAAGAATCTAGCAGCTGTCTATGATTTTTTCAACTGTTCTTTTTAGCGGCAGAATAATTTGAGCAAAAAAGCAATATCATAAAAAAGATACAATTGGACTCTATACGAATAAAAGAAGGAAGAAAAAGAGTAAAGAACAAAATAAAAAAAAGAAGAAGATGTAAGATTTATCAAAGTGAAAGCACACAAGAGGTAAAAGAGAGACGTTTCTCTTCATCAGAAATCAATTTCTTGAAGACAATAAAGCTATAAACTCACAGGATAATATCGACACTACGTGATATACGAACAGGATAAGAATTATAGCAACGGGGGAGACACTGAAGCGCCCCGTTGATATCGTAAAATCTCAAATTAATTACAGCCAGGATGTGTACTGGCTTTTTCAGGAGCCATGAACGAAACTCGCGAAAAGCTCGCAATGAAAAAGTCCAGCCGGATTATCTCGCGTCCATAGACGCTGAACGCAAACAGAGTAAATAATTAATCACCGTCCGCCAACCGCATAAAAGATAATTTACTTGCAGGCAGGCGGTTTGACGCATCAGCGCGACCAAATGCTGCGGTAAAAAAAAAGAGATGATAACCAGAATACATTTAAATATATCACGTATTCCCAATAGATTCATCAAACTTTAGCTTTTCAAAGACTCGACTGTGACATACTACCTTGATCAAAAAGTTCTCGGAATTTATTTAGAAAATGCAAAATACAAGTTTATTCATCAATATTAATATTGTCCCCTTCGAAGTACTCCCCATCGACTGCAACGCACTTATGCCAGCGCTTGATCCAATCCTCGAAACATTTTTTATACTCGGTGTTCGGTATGGCCATCAGAGCCGTCTTCGATTTTTCCATTATCTCCTCTCGGCTGCTAAAACGCGTTCCCCGTAGTGGTTTTTTTATTCGATTGAACAGAAAGAAGTCGCAGGGAGCCAAATCAGGTGAATTCGATGGCTGTTGGATGGTATTCGTTCCGTTCTTGGTCAGAAAGTTGCGGATAATGATGGCATTGTGCGTTAATGCCATCATTATCCGCAATTTTTTGACCATTGTGCGTTAATGCCATCATTATCCGCAACTTTTTGACCAAGAACGGAACGAATACCATCCAACAGCCATCGAATTCACCTGATTTGGCTCCCTGCGACTTCTTTCTGTTCAATCGAATAAAAAAACCACTACGGGGAACGCGTTTTAGCAGCCGAGAGGAGATAATGGAAAAATCGAAGACGGCTCTGATGGCCATACCGAACACCGAGTATAAAAAATGTTTCGAGGATTGGATCAAGCGCTGGCATAAGTGCGTTGCAGTCGATGGGGAGTACTTCGAAGGGGACAATATTAATATTGATGAATAAACTTGTATTTTGCATTTTCTAAATAAATTCCGGGAACTTTTTGATCAAGGTAGTATATCACACAAACAGTTCGTGTCTATTCTCTTCGGTTTTATTCCCTATTGCACGATCAATGATGTTGAGACAAGGAGTAGCATTCGACATGCCTATCCTCTCGCTGCCAAAGGAAACAAGTATATAGAAGAAAAGAAGAAAGCGCGAAGAAAGGGAAAAATAGTAAGGTTTTTGGAGAACGCGGTTCCAGAGTGCATCTTTCTGCCGTTTCGATTTTCTCGAACTCATCCCTATCGCGTCCTAACCTACAGCCTCCTTCTTTTACCCGTCTATTCTCACGCTCTTATTCCCGTGCTGTGCTCTTACCTTCTTTTTTTGTACCCGAGGGAAACACGGAGCACCTTCTTAGGGAGATAAAGAAGAAACGGTTGTCTGGATGTTCGCTTAAGGAAGTAGTCGATGCACGAGGAGACGAACCGACAATGCCGCGTTCTCGCGTTTCTGATCTACTGATTGCTCGCTCACGCGATCCGATCGATAATATAACGAAAGAATTTGTGAATCTGTTTCATCGGTCTGTAGTACACGAGTTATTTATGCGTAAAAGCGACGTTTTAAACTAATATCTTAAGTTAAATAACATTTTGTTATTTTTAATTATCATGTATGTCAAAATTTATTATTTTAACTCAAAATTACATCATTTTAACTCCGTTGAGATTTAGTTAAATTAACATTGTTTTAGTTAAATTAATGACATTGGTAATGTATGAGTAGGAGCAATGGCGACTTATAAGACTGGTTAAAAATGACTCAAATTGAGTATAATTTGACACTACGAATTTAACAGTGAAGTCTTCAGCTGTCGTAGATTTAATCTTATAAGTAAAGATTCTTCCGTTTGCACATAGTCTGTAATTAATATGAATAAAATAGTAACGTTGAGACTATTATAACGCAATTTTTTGCGCTTTATATATTAGACATAAAATTTTACTAAAGTTACACTGTTAAATGTCAAAGGATGAAATTTAAACCAATACCTTGAATTAGGTAACATTTTGTTATTTTTAAAAAACTATCATGTGTGTCGAAATTTATTATTTTAAAACAAAATAATATTATTTTAACTCCATTGGTTTAATTAAATTAACATTGTTTTAGTTAAATTAACGACACATTGAGTAGGAGCAGTAGCGACCTATAAGAATGGTTAAAAATGATTCAACTTGAGTAGGTATAATTTGATTATACCTACGAATTTAACAGTGTGTAGTTAGATTACTTAATATTAATGTGTTAGAATTAAAATTAAACTGTAGTAAATAAATAAATTGTAGTTGCGACGAGAGTTGCGAATAAACATATAACGAAAAATTTCAACTAGTTTTTTCTAATTTGACTTACAATAAACGAAGTAAAACTTTTCTATATACAAATATCTGACAGAATCGCCTAATTAAATCTCTCTGAAAAAATCCGTTGCAGAAACAAGAACTTTCCTGATTTCTCGTGTTGTATGCGAGTTGTATTTCGATCATAATTATTGGATATAACTAGATACATCCACTCAAATTTTTATTGTATTTTTTCTTTTCTCATGCTGCTTTCGTCTCGTCATGCGCGCTGCGACGGCAGATGTATTTTTTATCAGCGATATTACAACGCATCCTCGTAAATGGAAAGACCGCAGGCGATGGAAAAGTAACTGATGTAGTTATTGATTTTCTGTTAACTGGCTATTTCGCCGAGAGAATTACCGCGAACGCATTTTCAACGTGTCATTTGCTCCAACGTAACATGGAGCTGTGAAAAGGTGCTACAGAAGAATCTGTGCACGTAACCGCATATAGTTATCGTTTACGTAACTACATATATATTCACATACATTTAGTTATGTAATTAAGGAAACGTATCTTTTCCAAAAACTTATAAGAGATAAAAAAAAACTTAATTTCACTCACCAACTTCAGCCACGCGTTGGTCGTAAGTATTTGGTTCTTTTCATCCTGTAAAAAGCACAAAACAATGTTATTTTATATAAATATTGTAAAAATTACACATATTGTGCGCCATGTCATATATAATTACAATTATAATTAAAATATGTAACAAGCTTCAAGATACTTCAAGGTATTTTTCTTTGTATATATCTATATATTAAACTCTTAATGACTTCTGCTTCAGTTGTAATTAAGAATAGTAGATTGTACATAATTTTATTTCTCTTTGTTATAATATTTATCCTTCTAATTTACGATTCGTTTGCCCATTTTTGTTAAAGAAAATATAATTAACTTTTTACGTATGAAATATTTTATAATTGTTTTAAATCTACCTGCTAATAATTAGGTTTGTTACATTGCTTTATTTTCTTATTTGTTTCTAGAACATTATTGTCCTCTTTGTTCAAAGATGATGCTATATTTGACGTTGTCGACATATATATCTACGAATATAGTTCCTTCATATACCTATCTCATTCACGTTGACGCGCAAACTCAGTCATATACGTTTCACTCGATACGAGCAAACAGCACACGCATATGGCAAATATTTATTCACAAAATGAGTTGGACGTGCGATTTAACTTCACTAGTGGCACTAGTGCGCTCGATAACGCATATTGTGCCTGTAAAAAAACTTTTAAAACACAAAGAAAGTTTGACCAATGTCCATATTGTATTTAATGCAAAATTTTAGAATAATAAATCAAATTGACATATGACTATTGTAATTTTATGTTAGATATGTAACATAATTATAAATAGTCGTAATTGAATCGAAAATTATTAATCATTCGGCAGAGAGAAATTAAAATTGGAATTGTAATTGTATAATATACCTCATTTATTATATACGCGTAATGGTTTTTTGCCGCGAGGAACCCTGCAATTGCTTTATTTAACTAGATTGCGTATAAAATTTGTGTCACTAAATCTGAAGAATTGTAACAAAAAGAATAGTACACGACAGGAAAATGCGATTCAATCGTAAGAAACTCTGCTTGCAAAAAGATAACCAATAACCGTGAATTGCTGGCTGCAAATTTTCTCTCTGCAAACGACGGTTTCGACCGAGTCGACCGAACAGAATCGTCCTTTCATGCCATGTTATCGAGAGTTTCAAAGTGATTTACCAAACGAAATCGTGTTTTCGGCATCGTTGCCGATAAACAAACTTCATATTATATCATAGGCAGTATTAATTGAATTCGTTACTTGCCGAACGCATTTTACGCTGCTTCACGATGTAAAACGAGAATAAATCGGCGAGTAGTTTTTGGGAAGATCAAGAAGCACGAGTGAGCACTAAATATTTTCTGTAATCTTTTTTCGCAAAAACGTGTGACGTCGAATGAAAAAAAGGGATACGCTTATAAGTCGTAGGTAAACGTGTTCTTTGCATTGTCTGTTAATTTAATCAAAATCCACTACAATATATTCAGTTATAGTAATTTATATAAATATTTTGTCGTTCACACTGTACAATATCGAGTAATTATAAACGTCACATTGCAAAATTTAATTTAAAAAAAATTAATTTAAATAGTTGGAAACCAAGAATTATGCAAAAAAGTGTAATTTTAAATTGCAATTTTCCTCTTAAATGATTTAAAATAATATTTAATCAAATTTCCATCATTAAATTGTACTTGAAAAAATACATGGTTTCAGCGAAACATTTTATTTTATAAATTTTATTAAATTATTATTTTATTAAACATTTTATTTTATACCGTCAAAATTATATTTTGCATTAAATATAAAATTTCAATCTAAAAAGTGTAATATTTGTAACTTAAAATAGCTTTTAATTTATTTATATTGTTCTGATTTATGAAAGAAGCTAAAGGATGTATATGTAAGATAAAAACTTTTAATAAAAGCTCAATAAGTAAAGTCAAAAGAAAATAATTACAAGTTTTTGTCGAATTTTTTTCTTATTTTCTCGTTGTGCAGTATGAAATGTAATAGTGAGGATTTTGCGTGACAAAGATACCGGTCGTACGACCGAGACATTTCTCTCGTAGTCACGTCTTTTCGCGGCGCACTTCCGCTTCCGCTACGCCGACGTTCTTTATGTATGAGTAACACGGACGCGTTTTGTCACGACTGGCTCATTGGCGCGACGTAATTGCACCTTGCGACAAAGACTAAAAACTTACGGCATAGTGCAATGTTCATCACTCGTAGTGTCGGCCTGGGTAAAGGCGAACGAAATTACGAGTGATGCTACGAATTAATTTCTGTTATTGCATCGTGAATCATGAGATATCGCGAGTTGATGTCAACGAAGTTATTGCGATATTTCTAGTTTTCAAATAGACGCTATAAATAGATAAAAATTGATTTTCTTTTTTACGAGCAAAATGAAAGTGAAATTTTCAGACCAGAATAATTTTTCTAGGGTGTTTATAAATTCTTCAGTTTTTTTCCGTAACAGACAGTGTGCCACTCAGTTGGGTAACGTTATATGCGTTACAAACTGTCGACACGATACAACAATCTATCAAACTTGCTGAGCTCAGCTCAAAACGAAATCCGGCAAACGGAATGAATAAAAAAGTGCGAATGTTATGGCTCGCTCTCCCGTCTGAAATGATGCGAAATTGGCATACCGATTCCGCGTGACGTCGAGATTATTCGACAGACCTTGCGGAGATATACAAAATACGCGCGATTTCTGATCGATGAAAGGTAAGAGTTTCATTTCGCGGCCGACAATGGCGGTAACAATGAATACTGCATTTCTTTCATTCTGCAGAGAATGAAATGTATTACGAATTGAATTTCCATTGATTTCATTCGATAGAAACGGTCCACGAAGGAAGCCCGGATAAAATCACGTATCGTCATACAATTTATCCGCAGAGACGCGAGAAGTCTTAATTAAGGACGAGCGATGAATTATGATAATTAACGTCATCAGGCGCTGACAAAGTGCATAAACATTCGTCAAGCGGAAAGGTGCGACCGTTTCGAAACAGAAGTTTCTGCAATATGCGCTATGATTAATCGACGAAACATGTCGCGTGACGCAAAAAGTTCACGATCTGTGTATTTTGACCGCATAATGCACAAGTTCTATTTGTTCTGTTTGAATCTCGTCGTTAATAAATAATTTACAGTCGCTATAATTTCTGTTTTGTATTTTATTGCGTTTTGAAGAAGAAAGCACAAAAACAATAAGTTTGGATTATGCCTTTATACCATTTTTCATTATTTTCATTTATAAGGCATATAATTTACGAACTTTATGGAAAATAATATATCACATTTTGTTGACAGCAGTAGGCGGAAAAACAGTGAAAATATCTTTTTCAGCTGTGAGACATATGTGTTTCGTTCCGCGTTCGATTGCAGCAATCAAACAAATGGTGAATCAAACAGTAGCGCGACTCAACGTTACATCGGCCACGAGAAGTAGAAAAAGTGGCGACTAAGCGCGATCAAATGTTTACGACCTACCACGAAACATAAAAAGTTTATAGCACGCTGAAGAACTTGAAAATGGAATTAAGAAAAACGTGATCATTGCTTGCAACATTATATCGGTGCGTAGTGTTGGAAAAAATAATAAAAATCGCGCAATATATGACATACATATAAGTACATATCATAAACAGAACACATGTGCATTTATAGATCGAATGATGAGACAGTTAAGATTATTTAAGAGAGTTAATATTCTTCGTAAATGATATAGTGTTGTTTCGCGAGACTTTTCAGCTACCTAAAAATGTGATTGGTTTCACGTTACGACTTCACGAATGTCGAAAGTTTTGTTGATCTTGTTTCACCACCGTGTTCTCTGCTTTACCCAACATACGGAATCAGGTTCCTGCCATTATGAACTTTTCTATGTGACCAATTAAAGAAACGCCGCTTTTACGAAAGCTCTCGCCTTCCAATTTCGACATCAAATAAAAGTTTTAATTTAAGGTTAAATGTATTAACGAAGTACTTCTTCGACTGTGATGCTCTCGTATTTAGATTACATAAAGTACCGTTTTAATAAAAGTCCCTGACAGATTAAATATAACCGAATCAATTTTTAATTAAAAATAATTATGTACTATACTATATTGTATAATAATTCTGAAAATAATTTAAACGGTGGAATTTGTAAAAAAAAAACAGTTATTTAAATAATATTAATACCATGTGTGTTTCAATTGTAAAATATCAAACGACAAATTGTATCGCTATATTGTATTAACCGTACAAAGAAAGCAGTTCAAGGATTTTATTCGGAAGTAATGGAGAAATTTTGGCACCGTAAGATTTATAAATTAATTCATTAAGGTTGGATTTCTTGTTGCAATTCGCGCCGGATAAGAAAACTACAGAGATACCCGTCGTTTCCAAAGGCAACGATACTTTGAAAAGGGAAACGGCAAAAACCCCAGTCAGCTTGAGCGATGCGACTTAGCGAAACGACGACGCGGACGTAAGGGTGGCGAGTAGGTGGGTTGTAATGGAATATGTTTTGCTACTAGAGGGATGAAAGAGAGTTCGCTCCGGAAATGTCTGCGCTCTTAATGTCCAGAACACATAGCGGCCTTTTGTTTTTACAGAAAATGTATCAGATTGTATGAACTTCTAAAGGAAAAGCTATGACGGAATATAACGATAACTATAACACAATGAGAATAATGATAATAGTAATGGCACGAAACTGAGAAAGAGATAAAGACTCATATTATCTGGATAATCACGTCCTTTGTGAATAAATAAAAGAAATGCCGGCGACATACGCGCGCGGCGCATGTTTTCTTGCAAACAGTAGGGGTATTCAAATAAGTTAGAGTTTAACGGTTTGACGGGGTTATGTCGGGTTAAAGTCGGGTAAAAAGTTAATTTTTACACTTTTAACCCAAAGATTAATGTGATAGGTTAATGAAACACTTATGTATTTTGCATAACCTTAAAAAGTAGCGCGCCCAAAGTTAATTAATTAACTTTTTACTCGACTTTAACCCGACATACCCTGTCAAACCGTTAAACTTTAACTTATTTGAATACCCCTAGTGTTTACTTTCTATAATTAAGCTGTATCAAAGTTACGTTGATACTCTTATATTAAGATTTAAGAGAAGTAAAATAGCGAGATAAATATCTAAATAAACTTTGTTTATTCAAGAAGATGACACAGTATCTGAGAAATACGTAAAACAGTTGTAGAATCTTTGTTGCGAGCGAAAAGTAAAGTAAGTATCGGAAGCTTGTGACGTAAAGAGGCTCGGCGTGACGGTACGGATATATTCCCTCGGCCGTTAACTCTGGCCGTAAGGATGTTTTGAGAGGAAACACTTTCAATCGGTTTCTTTAATCCCGGCTATATATTACTTCCGCCAGGTTGGCGGAACCGAAGTGGATTGCAAGTATCTTGACGTACTTCCTCCCGGTCAATTTATAATTGTAATCGGGGATCCGGGGAAAAAAACCCCGCACTGTAAATTCTTAATGAACGTTGAATGCCGTACATTCGTTACAACCATCAAATATTGATCAATCGGGGATTTTATTTTTACGGATCACGATAATGCTCACGGGCTAGAACGCTATCGACTATTCTCCAACTAGTCTACAGGGATCATTTGATACACCTTTAATTTCAAGCTTTGCCGATATAATATGTATGCGTCAGAAAATACCAAGATACGGAAAAGATACACACGAAGCTGCTATCGATGAAAATTTAATATATACGATTGCTACGAACGGAAAGTTATATAGATAGGATTTAGTAACATTTTGCCGTGCACGCAGAAAATATATGTATTCTACTTTTCATACCAAGAATTGACATCCGTCTCGGCGTGTTCCTCATTCAAATTGAAATGTTTCGACTTAAATTGTGGAATATATTTCTCGTCTATACAATAAATCTGTAATGAAAACGTTCGCGTAATAATTTATATTTCTCGCGTAAAATTGTAATTGCAAAATAACATGGAAAAATTCAGTAAACTTCTTTCAAAACACTTTGCAGAACAAGAATTTCCTTAAATACAGAATTAACGATTGCACGCTGAATTCTTTTTTGTCTTGCCAGCGCGTTTTACTATCGGACACGTTATCAGATCTTTTCTTAGGAACCGTATTTAGATGATATACATTGTATGCATTTACTGATGGAAGTAAATAACCGCGCGGTAAGAGAGAGTGCGAAGATGGAGAGCGTAATGCAATCCGGCCGGCCTCATTCGTCCCCGCTTAACCATGCTCTCATTTAGATAAGCCCGATATTTTGACGTGCAAAAACTTGAGCGGCTAATCTTGGCGCTTCTTATCTCGAGGGTTCACACGGAGGCTGCAGAATAGCCACCTCATAATGGATATTCACCCTTAAGATTTGAAATATATCCGCGAATTCACGCTAATCTTATCGCTATACTTAAGATAGCCAACTTTATATGTTCTTAGTTGCTATCAGTGTTAGCTATTGCATATTCAATTAATCATTGTCACATGTGCATTCTGACCTTAATCGTTGTGTATTTAAATAATTGATATAACGATTACAATAATAATGTTATAAGTAAATATGCTCTCGAGACTGCGAGGTGTGTGTTTTATGCGTAATATGCTAAAATATGTGACGAAAGGGAAAGGTTCGGTAACTTACCACGTCGATGATTTGCTGTAGAGTGATGCCAAACTTCACTTCCAGTGGTTCGCTCTCATTCGCGACCGGTCGCTCCAAGGTGTTGTAATTTGCCAGCAGGTGATTCAATAAGCGTTTCTCGTGGCGCCCGCAAAGGCTTTCTGCGATAAAAAACGAGACAAATCGAGTGTCAGTCAAGCCTCGTACATTATTCCGGAGGGTGTGAGCCGCAAATAATCGCGACCCTTGTCAAAGCGTATTTACGAACAGATACGAAAGAAAAGATCTTCGCTTCGTCGACAACAGCTTTTTTTCTTTCGCAAAAAAAAAGCATAATAAGAAGCAATTTAATTTATATTTCTGTTACAATGGGCAGAATAAACAATTCCGGAAACATTTTTCTATTCACTGCTTCCGTTTTCAAACAGTCAGCCATTTGCATGAAAAACCAATTATTTACGCACTTTTTAATACTGATAAAAGCTACACGTATTTTTTTCTCATCGGTTTCAGCAAACATATTGTAGAGTCACTGCGATAGTCGATCAATAACTGATATTAAATTCCATTGAATTAATATAAATCTATTTTCAAAATATATAAAGTTACATCGTTTTCTTTTCAGATATAAAGTTTTTAATAAGTTCTTATAGTCTTGTTGAGATATAAAGGCTTATTGTGCTAAAAAATTGAGACGTAATTAAATACAAAAAAAAACTTATAATTAACTTATAAAAAATGTCACTCATCGCGTAAAATATGTTTTACTGGTTGAAAGAAATTCAATAAATATCATAAATCAGCCTATAATGTTTCTCTTAAATCCCCACAGATGCTAATGTAACTTGTTCGTGATCGATCATATTTCGGCAGTCCTAATGCACCGGGGACGAATAAATGCATATCGACGATTATAAAGTTCACGAGTTTCCAACTTGCACGAGCGTCGATAGAGAACTCCGGTGCGAGCTCCGAAGCCGTCCGGGGACGCGCTTTGGTCCCACTTTCCCGTTCGGTTCCGGTCTATCCGCGGCTGAACGACGGCGTGAGCAAACTACTTTAATCCATCGACAAACACGTCGTGAGTGCGTGCATTCCGTCCCCGACCATTCCAGGGGCCCAGATTGTACCTACTCGAGCACGTGCTGCTGCGGGATCAAGTTTGGGCTTGGGCGCGGTGTGTGCCGACGCCGCAGAATACGAGATGCAACAGGACCGCGTCCACGGGGAGAATAATGGTCGTCGGCCCCGCGACTGAATTCGGCGCACGTGCGCCCATTGAAGACGAGGACCGAGGTATCGTGAGGTCGCGACAAATATACCGTGCGCCGTGAAACGTTTACCGCCGCGCGGTACACGGTCCATCGCCTGCTTCAAATATTTCGCGATCACATTCCGACTCTCCCACCCCCTCTCCTCTCCCCGCCCTTCATCACCCCTTTAGATACATTAATATTCTGAGTCCGAGCGGGGTACCGGGGTATCTTAGAGGGTCTGAACTTCCTCGCAGAATTCATCGCTTCATCATGTTACAAATTCCGTTGGCCGATAATCACGTACTTCGTACAACTCGGTTCTCCCTGAAACTCGGGGTCGTTCGGGTTGACAAAGGAACATTATATGCATAATACAATACGGTGTATTCCGTTTGCATAGAGTTAAAATCTCACGGCGTACAATAATTAATTTAACATTGAAACGGTAATTATCGTTCGCATTTTAAATGCGTCTCTTTACAATTGACTGCGTTGAGTTTCTCAAGCGGCGCACTACATTTTTAATAAATATGAACTCGTTGGCATAAACTCATACCGTAAAGTCTGATTTCTATTTAAGATTTCTTCACTTTAATATATTTAAAATAAATCTATATTTTACTTCTTTCTAAAATATAAATAAGAATCGGCAAGAAGATGCCAATGGCCGACCAAATTCAAAGAGTTAGAAAAATCGAATATCTTTTCTAAATAGAATTTTAAGTCATCTCTATAATGCATCTATTTCAGTGGGACGATAGTGGCTGTGAATTATTCAGACACGTGTAATTACTTACGCCTACTTACTTTACTAGTACTGGTTAATTGTTTTCAAGCGGGCGTTTCTCTCATGGGGCATTTCCGGATCACAAGAATAAAATTAATGCAATCGTTAATCAGATTAGTCAAATGTATTACGCATATATCGATCCGACGTTATAATTTCTAGTTTATACACTACGGGAATATCGCGAGGCGTTGATTAATCACCTTTGTAACGCCCAACGTAGAACGTATGTCACACATTTGACTACGTACGCTGTGTAAACAGGCCGAATTATTAGGACTGCAATTATGCGGTAAAAAAGTAATTTATCGTTGCATTCCCAATGGCCGGGCCCAATGAACGATTTATCGGACGCTCGCTCGAAGAACAGAAAAATAAACCAAAAACTCCGTTCAATTAGCCGCTTTGACGGTAACAAGCGGAAATTCGTACACACACATAAAACGTCATCTCGTAAAATATAAAAAAAAATAGCCAGCAATGCGTTATCGCCAATTTTCGCTTCGAAAGGCAGCGCGCCGTTCAGGGATATTAATGAATTGAAAAAATCGATAGCATCGCCAAAGGATGGCGATAAACGTGAATCCCTTTTAACGACCTCTCGCACGGAAGTAATACGGTTCGAGACTTGTCTTGAACTTCTTGAATGAGCGATGGCGAAACGGAGCAGCAATAAGCAACTTCGCCGAATCGTGCAACGGCTATTTAGACGAGTGTTGGAAGACGATGGCAGTAATTAATGAGGTATACGTAAAACCGAAAGAGAACTTAGGGAAAACTAAGTAGGCACGTGCGTTGCAACTCTCCCGTGCACCGTAGAACTCGTGTTAATGAGTCTCCTCTAAGGAGGAAGAAGCAACACTAGAACCGTGGAGAATATCTTCTAATTATTACACGCAAATTATACACGTGGACAGAAAATAAGTGGTTAAGATACTCTCATATAAATGCTGATATGAACAATACATTTAAGAAGAAAAGAATTTAATCAAATCAAAGAGTTTATATAGGTTTAGAAGAGACATCAGCTATTATATTTAGATATAGATAAATGTGGGCTGCTTACAAAATGCTGCACGTACCATCCTCACTTGCTATACTTTGGATCTACATACAAGTTTAGCATTTCAGCATTCTTTCCTTTTCTTCTACGTTGTTTTAACTGTCTAATGTAACATTCACATAAGAACTACATCGTTCGTCATTTGCATAACTTTAAGTCTTGCATATCTCGGGTGTACAACGAGCATAAATCGTGCATTTAGAACAATAGCTCCGCAACTTTCCTACGTATTTTCTCATTACTCCCGATAAAGCTTTGTTATAATTCACAATAGTTTATTCAATGAGCATTAAGCTGTTTTATCACATGAATTAAACTGTTCAAATTGCTAATAATGAGAAACAAGCATGTGTTGAGAGCAACCGGAGGGCGTGAAATGCGCAAATTCTATAAATAAGATTATCTCTCGTAATGCTAATTCCTGAAAATCAACATTAACCTGGCAAAAAGGCACAGGAAATGCGCCTCGCAAATGCCACGAATAGAATCAATCTCGGTATACCATCATTTCATTGTCGAAACTAGCGGATTAACGAGGAGATTCTCAACGAGAAGTTGTAAATTAAAGGCCATAAAAATAATTGTTATTTTATTTCAAATATATATTCAAATATTTTTTTCAATATATTCAATATATTTTTCGTGTATAAATTAAGTGGATACTTCATCCTTTTATATATGGGTAAACAAATTCATAATTCATGTATATGTATACGTATGGTTTTAATCTGATCTAAATTTAGATCAATCGGATATAAAATAAATGGAATAAGCGTGACATATAAATGAGAAAAAAGAGATAAATTTAACGAAAAACACAGAATAAAATAGAATTATTTCGATTGCTTAGTAGTTGGCATGATATTTTTCTCAAACATAAAATGTTAAAGAAAAAAAAAACGGAAGAGAATGAAGAAGCAAAAGACAACAATGTTACTTTGTAGAGAAGTTTGTCACTATTGTTGACTTAACTATTTAAAAAGTATTACCCCAGATGAGTTCAAGAAAGTATCTAGAAGTGCACAGTTTAAATCGCTGCAAAGAAGAATTCCGAATGCGTAACATGAACATGTTGAAAAACCCTACAAAGGTATATAGTACGCCAATGAAACTTCCTTCGAGTGAGATTATTTTTATTTCAAAATGTGCAAGAAATGAGAAATTCCGCACAAAAGCAGCAAGTACGTGACATTCGTGACTTTTCGGCAGATCTGAGAAAAGCTGAAAGTACCATTATTTGACGGAGGATGAGTTTTAATAGTATCGCACAAAGGGTTTCCAAAAGAACCGCGACGACTTCATTTGGTCGATTTAGATTAATGAGATTGAGTTTGGGGGAAAGAATTGGCACAAAGAGAGATTGAAGTATAGCCCGCAGATTCTGACATATAATAGCCGGTAAAACCCATTCGGTCGAAATACGTGTCGAAATACGCACCGACATGAATGGGTAGCCGGATATCCTTTTCGCCGACGTGTCGACGTCACTGTCATCGTCAACGAAGTACCTGAGCTTTACAGGAAGTATCGCCATGGACGGCGGTCTTTGTAAGAACAGACCATGTGCTTATCCACGCGTGTGTATGCTCGACACGTGCGCGGAGCTGCGATATTTTCCTTCCTACGTCATTACTGACGACATGCTGGCGACAATATAAAAATACCGGTCGTAATAAAGAATGAACGACAATTGTTACAGTGTTCACTGGGGAAACGCGAGTGTCCGAAGACGATCGATGAGGTGAATGAAACCAAGTTCGGCATTATCATTGAAAATAAATTTTTCAAGATGCCCCCGAAAATTATTTAATATACTTTTGATTAATTTCTCTCTTATATCAATTATCCAATCGAGAAATATTCTTCTTATTTAATTAATTTCATTAATTGCGATTGATGTTTTTATATAATTGAAAATAATCCGTGATTAAATTGAGGTATTAACGCGAAAATGTTCAATATCATTAAGAAGTCTCTCAGCGAAAAATTGAAGGATTGGTATTATACTCCAGAAATTTTATAATCTTATTGTCGCGCGCTGAGATTCTTTATAAT